CTGCTTTCGTCTTGATGCGGAAGACCCATTTCCCGGTAAGGATGGTTTTGTTCCGTGCCACGCTTACGGGAACAACCTTCCAAGTGTTGCGTTCCTCTAATGCCTTCAGTTCTCTATCCATGGCTTCACGCCATTTCTCCCTGTGTTCCCCCCCCAGAGCCTGCTGAACCGTTGCAGGCTCCTTAGGAAGCGAGCTGCGTGTGTTCCCGTGGACTGCGGTGACGAGGCCGAGGATTTGCAGCCCAGTCTGTGAGTATCGAGGGAGTTCTGGATCCTCGGGATAAGCTGCTTCGTCTCCCGTTTCTGGGTCGGGCATGAAATTTGGCCCTACCCTTTCTGCTTCGTTGGTGTTGACTGTCACAGGTGTTACGTAACCATCGTCGGCGAAACGGTAGAAGATTTCGGCGTTGTTACTGTCGCGAGGATTATCCTCATCCATGGGCACGTCGACGGAGCAGTATGGGAGAGGTCCGGCTTCTTCTGAGGCGTTGTCGACGTTCTGTTCATCCCAGTCTGCTTCGTCCGCTGCTGACGCGAAGGCTCGGTCACCACGAAAACCACTGGTGAGGTCCCGATTCTCGTGCAAGTTGGCGAGGTACGTCTGAAGGGTGAGTCTTTCGTAGAAGATCACGTCACGTGCTGCTACTGTTTCCTTTGTGTGGACGTCGAAGATTTTCCATGCGTTGTAATTTTTCTCGATGCCGAGGTGTAGTCCCCACTGTGCCCGTTGCGAAAATCTTCCCGCTCGTGCTTCTGGGGGTCTGTACTGTACCATGCACCCGAAAACTCGTAACATTTTCGTGCTGCCCTGCTTCCCTGTCCACAGCAGATGCGGTGATGCGTTGTTCGGGAGTGACGACGACGACAACAAGTTGTGTAGCATGACAGCGTGGTCCATTGCTGCTGGCCACTGGTGGTTGGGTAGCCGCATGCCACGTAATAGTTTGCGCATGCTGTTCTGCAGGGTCCTGTTCAGTCGTTCTGCAACACCTTGCTGCTGATGTGCGTAAGGAAGGGAGAGGAGTTGCTTGATCCCCCTTTCCGCCAAGAACTGCTTGAAGCGGTGAGAGGTGTACTCGCCACCTCCGTCTGACTGGAAATTTTTCAGTTGTGTTCCAGACTCTCTCTCTGCTATCGGTAGCCAGGCGGCGAATGCTGCGAGCGCCATGTCGCGGCTGGGTAGGTTGCGATGCCAGACGTATCGAGTGGCGGCGTCGATGAAGGTGATGGTGTAGTTGTAGTTGACTTGTCCTGGCTCGCGATTGTAGAGGATGTCGCTGTAGACTTTTTCGAGTGGTGCGTACGCTGGAGCGCTTGGGTTGTGATGTGAAGCAAACGGTCGATGAGGTAAGTCAGCTTCGGGACATATAAGGCAAGTCCCTCGTGCCTTCTGGAGTTCTTTGCCATCGGGTAGAAGTAGAGAATCTTTGTCAAGGACTCCTGCTCTTATCGTGTTATTCAAAACCGTGTTGCTTGGATGTCCTGTTCGTGCGTGCCAGATCTCTTCAGAGGCGCGGTGTCCAGGTGAACGCTGATATGCGTCGGAGTTGGAGTAAAGGCTGGCGACGAGGTTGGCGCTTCGGTGGACTTCACGTTGAGTCGGATTCAGCTGTTTCGCGGGTGTTGGTGGTGCTTCGTCGACTGTGACTGGTGTCGTTGTTCCTGCTGCTGCTGATGTTGTTGCTGCTGCCGATGTTGTTGCTGCTGCCGATGTTGTTACTGCTGCCGATTGTCGAATTGTTGCTAATGCTCGTGTTCGTTCTGCTTCAGGAATGGTGTGCGAGTACCAGAAGCCTCCTGGGCTGAAGTCGGGGTCGAGATCCGGAGGGTGTGTCCAGTCAGTGAAATTCACGATGGCGTCGCTGTCTGCAGTGCCCAGGTCAGGAACGAAGTCGAGGACGAAGACGTTGTTCTTCAGCACTGCTTTCCCGATGTAGAGACCGCCTCTCCCGTGGTAAAGTTTGAACTCCTGGGTCGTGCTGTCGGCTTCCAGATGAATTCCTTTCGCCATCAACTGGCTAACGCTCAGTAAGTTGTAGCCGAGTCCTTCAGCGATGAGTACCTTAGACATGTGCAGTATGACATTTGTTTCTCTTGACTGAAGCTGTACCACTCCTTGTCTTCGTGTGCGCAGGTTTTGGTTGTTGGCAACCGTGATGATCACTTCCCGTTGGAGTCGATGTTCGCGTTGTACGAAACGCCCGGACGAGCACATGTGTTGCCCGCAGCAACTGTCCAAGAACCAGGTGTCTTGGCCGGACGGTTCACTTTGAGCGATGGCGGCGTACGTTGGATTCGGCTGGAGTAGCTCACGGCGAGGCGTTCTGTTGTCAAGCTCTTCTTCCGGTGAGTAGTGTGGTGGTGATTCGGTTGTACATGAATCGGTTATCTTCGTCATGCAGTTGATTATATTTCTTGCTCCTTGTGCAGGTTGTCCGGGTGAAGTCGTTGAAGCTTGAATAGTGGTCGTCGCACTTGCTTGTGTTGAAGCCATTTGGGAGCTTGAAGGTCGAAGTTGTCGCTGTGGTGCCGTTGATTGCTGACGATTCGGGCAGTGTGTGCGCGGGTGCCCTGAAGTCTTGCAGATGTGGCAGAAGGGAGGTACTATCTTCGGTTGCTGCTGTCGGTTGTTATAATTGCTGTGTCGTCGTTGAGTGTGGAATGCGAACTCTGATACTGTCGTTTTCTTCCTGTGTCGTTCTTCCTGCAGGTCCATATCTTGCTGCTCGGCATGTATTTCGGCGCAGAGTGCAGCTTCAGAGATTCTTCCGTGGGCTCGAAGAATGGCTTTGGTGGCGCGCCACTGAGGACCAAGCCCACCAATGATGACTGTCACGAAGGCGTCTTCAGAGATTGACCCTCCGCATCGAAGCAGCTTGTCGCGCAGTTCGCGACATCGGCTGATATACGCCAGTCCTTTTTCTCCTGGTTTCATTTCGACTGTCGTCAACTGCGCCATTAACCTGCTCTGGTTTACACTGTCTGTTGCTTGATACAGGTTCTTCAGATGGCTGTACGCGAGCTCCGCCGAGTTGCCGAAGGTCCGGTAAGAGCGAATGTTCTGCTGCTGAGTTGGTGTCACGTTCCTCAATAGGATTGTATACGCCATCATTGATTGATACGTATACTGCTGCTTTTCATATTGTGTCCCGTTGGCTGGATACTGCAGGGACCCGTCGAAGAAGCCGAGTATCTGCGCGCCCTCCATCATCAGCTCGAATTCAAAGGACCAGGTAAAGAAGTCTTTGCCGTCGAAGGGTCTTGACGTTTGCAGTTTTAAGACGTGTGCAAACTGCGACTGAACTTGAAGTGCGTCCAGTGGTCTTTCTTGTCCAGGTGAAGGTTGCGGGTGGGGCACGAAGCTGATTGACCCGCGCTCGTACGGAGCAAAGGTAGGTTGCTGCTGCTGGTTTCCTCGCGCATATGACGACCCATCAAGACTCATGGGTGTCGCTCCGTTGTTGCTGTTGTGTGTTTGTGCAGGTCCCGACTGCTGGTGTTGTTCGTAGAAGGACATGAAGGAGAAAAATTTCTCCATCATGTTCTGGTCAAAGTCCGAAGGGTGGTTCATGGGGGTCTCGGTTGACGTTCCTCTTGGTCTTGTTGCCGTGCCTTCTTCTGTCTGCAGGCCAGAGGCTGGCGGTGGAGTAGGAGTAGTGCCCGAGGAGCCATTAGGGGAGCTCCTTTCCTTGTTTGTTGCCATGTCTTGTAATGATATTAAAAAGAGTAGAGTTTCCCTTGTCAGCTCTCATACCATGTTGGGCTGAGATAGCCCCTTAGGATCTTTGCAAGGGATAACTCTAGGTGAAGTAGTTGTAATAGCGGAAGCGTTTAGTGAAGAATTTGAACCGACCTTGCACTGGTGTGTGAGAGCAAAGTTGATTGAATTAAACAAGCAAATACAAGGATTTATATAAGAGTACAGGGAATAGATAGATAACTGTATTGCTGTTGCGGTTCGATATAGCGCGACTCGGGCAACTGCTCTGTAACGAGTCAGTTGTGTGTCCTTAACTGTCGCGCTGTAATTGTCGAGTCAAAGGTCAGCGACCTTTGACTTTCTCGTAACCTCCAGGCGGTTACCCTAGCCTTCGATGCTTCGATTGGGACTGCTTCGCTTGGTACCTTGGATTTTGATACGACAGAAGCGCACTTAGGACTTATTGTTTCCAACACATATTATATGGTGTCCGAATTAATGTGGCAACTCATGTAAGAAACGGGGGAATACAGCAATTACCCGTCAACTGTTGCCAATTTATCACCTTAGCAGCATCTCGGTTCCCTGCAAAAATTGAAGAAAAATGCATGGCCAAGTATTGAGGGGCAATAAGGCCCGAATAGCGAATACTATCGAATACCCGGAATATTCTTGACCCGGTATTCCGATTCTACGAATACTATGAAAGCGAATATTTCCGAATACTCCATCGTATTCTATTCATACGAATTGAGTTAATCGAAGCGAATCCCGAATAGTTCCCGAATACGAATATTCTTTTACAGGCTTAGTCCAGACCCATGAGACCCATGAGACCCATGAGACCTACCGATGAGACCCATGAGGGTAAGATGGATGCTACTGCAATGGCGGTGAGTATAAAGGGGTGAAGGAGGTTTCAAAGGGGGGCTGTATGAAGCAAGTTTGCAAAGAGGGTCGGGAAAGGAAGCAGGGTTTGGACAGAGCAGAAAAAAAAGCTATGGCTGTCTTACGTGGAACTGATTTGTTATATTTTCTTCACCACAGTACTAATCAGACGTGCGGAGTCATGACAGTTGCTTGATGCACCATCACTCAGGTATGCTAGATGGTGTTTATGTATGGTGTGGTGCATGCATGCATACGATTGACCATGCACGAACATGTCCAATGATGGATTCTTGACTGTCACGCATGGATAGTGATGCATTGTATGGTCACGTATGCGTGGTTCTGAGTCTGACCATTTGACAAGGCCTGATTATGGCAATGCCAAAAAAACGAACCAGGCGAAGTGGCTTCAGCTGGAAGGGCACAGCAGGTGGCAATGCTGCACAATAGGGAGGAATGTAGGGGTAACAGGAGGGCAAAAATGAGAGGGGAACATAAAATTAGACGATTTACACCAATACATACCCATGCCAACACATCAAACTGAATGGTAAGACAAGCAAGAAGAATTGCATGCTGTATGTCTCATTGCATGATAAATGGCGTGCTAATTGTCTCAATGCAAGATGAATAGCATGTCAAAGTTCACATAGGCTGATGAATTCGCATGCTCAATGTTACAGAACAAAAAAAAATAGCATGCTAATCTCTCATGGCATCATGAAATGCATTGCAGAGCTTAGAGGAGTGGGGCGCATAACGAATGGCGGGTGTGACGTGAGAGAGAGGAGTGGGGGGGTGAGAGGAATGGGGATATGAGGAGTGGGGGTTATGAGAGGTAGTGGGGAATATGAGAGAAGTGGGGTTGTTGGAAAGGTTTTAACTGTTCTTCGTGTGGCGTACTCAGGTTCTCCAGAGCCCTGAGACCCACGAGGTTAGAGCGGATGCTGCTGGAATGGCAGCGAGAATCAAGGGGTGATGAAGGGGAGAAGGAGGGTTGTATGAAGCAAGATTGCAAATAGGGCATTGGGAATGAAAGGAGGGTTTGGACAGTGCAGAAAAAATGCTATGGCTGGGCACTGTTTTTGTTATATTTTCCTTCACCAGACCAGAGTACTTATTCGATGCGAGGAGACGGGTACAATCATTTGATGCACCACCGCTTACATACGCTAGAAGGTGTTTAGTATGGTGTTGTTCATGCATGGTTGTTGTGCTTGACCATGCACGAAGTTGTACAATGATGGAATCATGATTGTCATGCAGGGTGATGGGTGCATTGCGTGGTCATGTAAGCGTGGTCCCGAGCATGTGCACATGACAAGACCTGAACGTGGCAAACTGAAGACCGGAACCGGGTGAAGTGGCTTCAGGTGGAAGGGCAGAATGTTGGCAATGCTGCACAATGGGGAGGAAAACAGGGGTGACGAAGGTCAGGGGGAGAGTACAAGAAGGAGGTTCCAAGCGAGTGAATTGCTTCAGAAACAAAGAGTGACAGGAGGGCAAATAGGAGAGGGAAACATAAAATTAGATGATATACGCCAAGGCATACCCATGCCATCACATCTATTCAAATGGAAAGACATGATCGGACTGACCATGCCGCTGTCCGCAGTTACACTTGATTGAATCTATAACATAAAACAATGATGTGGACACTCCACTGAGCCAGAAAGAAATTCACAGCCCTAATTCTCCTCCCTCTTCCTCCCTTTCCCCTCACCCTTTCCCACATAACCCTCCTTGCAACCCCTGCTTCCCCCTCTCTCCTCAAGCCCCACTCTTTCCCACTCCTTCCCCTCCTCCCCCGCCCGTCCACCTACGGTATTTCTGTCCCCTTCCTTGCACGTGAGCTTTTGTTTTGTGTGTGAAGATGAAAGCATGTATCTTAAATCATAACCTGTTATCATAACCTGTTATCTCTCCAATCATAACCTGTTATCATCATCTATGCTCACATCGTGTGTCTCGTTTTTAATCGGTCATAGCTTGCTTCCCACTTATCAAGCCCTTGCTGGAAATCTGGGGAAAAAAATGGCCCATAATACTGTACCAAGGCTAGAAAGGAAATAAGAGTATCAAGAGTAACAAGAGTAAGCAAAATAAAGAAAACAAACAAAGAGTATCAAGCATATGAAAAAACTAACTAGGGTCCTATGTACGAGTGGTGAAAGGCACTCCTTCCGCGCTGGAGCATGTCACATCCCACAGTACAAAAGCGATCGAGCATTCTGAGATCATCCATGTCATCAGGCAGGGCTTCAAGGCGCCTGCACTCAGAGATGTCAAGCTTCTTGAGTCTGCTGAGCTGCACAAAGCCAGCAGGAAGCAGCCGGATGCAGGTGTTGCTGACGTTCAGCTCATGCAGGCAGGAGAGCTGCGTGAGGGAAGCAGGAAGACGCGTGACTGATAAGCACTGTGACAAGTCCAGCTTGCGCAGTCTTGAGAATGCCCCAATGGCATCCGGAAGGGAAGATAACCATGGCGCGTAGATGTCAAGGGATGTCAGGTGGTGAAGAGTGGTGATGGCAGCAGGCAGCTCTGTGACTTCATCACGCGTGAAGTGGATGTTCAGCTGCCGTAGCTCCTGCAATGCCGGGCCATCAGATTCCACCAGCCTGTTCACACTGCGGACATTCCCGAGTGCCAAGGTGCGGAGGCGGGGAAGCCTTGTCAACGCGGACAAAGAAACCCCTGCATCGTCTCCCAGCATCAGCTCCAGGTGCTCCACACGAGAGAGATGGGTACCGATGGCCTCAAGACATGCTGCGCTGACAATGCCCAAGCACAATTTCCTGAGCTCTGTGAGTGTTGCAAGTGTTGCAATGTCTGCCAGAGATGCCCCCTGTCGATTGTTCGTGTAAGATAGAGCCTGCAAACTGAGTGGCAGAGCCTCAGGGGCTTCGATTAGCAGCCGACACTCCCTCAGCTCCAACTCTTTCAGCCTGGTGAGGCTGTCCAGCCTTCGAGGAACCGAGGAGAGGCTGCAGCACTCTTGAATCCTCAGCACTTGAAGACTGACGAGCGCCGTCAGAAACTCCGGAAGCTCTTTCAAGGCCGAGAAGTTCTGAATGTATATCTCCTGCAGGTTTGTCATCGCTGCCATGCCTTCTGGCAGCTTTGCAATCTCACACCCATCCAGCTCCAACCTGGTCAGCGACACCAGCTGCGTGAATGAAGTTGGCAGCTGCCCTTGCCCGTTTCTCTTGAGATGAAAGGTGTGCAGATTGGTGAGGCCGCCCTTGTCTTCTGGAAGGTGCAGGGTGGGCACATCTGCAAGGCTCAGAGTCCGGAGTGCTGTGAGGCAGCCAAACCCTGCAGGTAGCTCCTCCACCTTCTCGCAGCCAACCAGAAGCAATGTCTCCAGAGACGCGAGTCTGGTGAAGGACACAGGGAGACGGAGAAGTGGCAGCCAGTGCAGCACCAGAGCCTTCAAGGCTGGAAGATTCCCAAAGTTGTCAGGCAGAGTGGACACGTTGCATGAGGTAATGGTCAATCTCTCCAGGCAGGCGAGGGAGGTGAGCTGGTCGGTAAGATCGCGTAAGCGTCTGCACCTACTGATGCTGAGCTCCTGGAGGCGCGGCAGCACCTCTCCTATACTGTTTGGGAGCCCGTCCGCCTGTGGGGTGGAGCCACTCATAACTTGCAGCCGTTTTAAGCACCTGTACGAAGATCCAAGAGGGAAGAAAACGCTAAAATCTACATCCCAAAGTCCGAGCTTGAGCGACTCGAGGGAGGGTAGCTGTGCGAGTGAGAAGGCAGGCGGATTTGGTGAAGCACGGCGAATCGAAGGCAAGGAAAGGTGGGTCAGGTTGGTGAGGTGAAGGAGGGTGGAAAGCTGCTCGTAGTGAAGGGGGGAGGTTTCAATGGACACTGCAGTGAGATATGAAAGAGAGCTGAGATTCAGAGGATTTAGGATGAAAGGAGTGGTCAAGGAGAGGGCGCTCAGATGTTGAAGCTGAAAGAAAGAAGCTGGTGGGTTCAGGTTTTCCTCAAGACACTGCAGCGACAGCTGCTCCAGTTGAGGGCAGTGGCGGAAGAAAAAATCCAAGCCAGATTCGGTAATCACGCGGTCATTCCTCCTGTATAGCCCCACCGCTTCAATCAGCTTCCCCACGTGCAGCGCTCTCAACCCAGGGCAAGAACGGGCGAGGTCAGCTAGAAACGCGTCGTCCAGCGTTTCAACACTTCCGTCCGACAGATGCAGATGGGTCAGGCTCGGGAAGCAAGCGACGGCGTTGAGCACGTCGCGATGAGACACGACGCGATCCTCCTTGACGAGCAGCGCTGTGACACACCTCTGCGCGAGACGCCGCCAGCGACGGCAAATCGACGCGATGAAGAGGTTATGCGCAGCATCTGCGGAGGCCGGAGGGGTCGGCATGGGAGTATCCCTGCACCAAGGCTCTTCTGGAGTAGCGTGCGCGACAAGGTACGTGGGCTTAGAAGACACGGAGTTCCACAGATCATCGCTGTCGGATCTGCACGAGCTTCTTGACTGTTCGGAAGGCCACAAGATCCGGATGAGCACCTCGTTGGGGAGATTGTTGATGTGGGTTGTACTCGAATCCATGATCGAAAGTTGATTGCACGAAGTGGCAGCTGAGGTGAAGCTCAACACGACCTCGCAAGATTAGATGGCTTGGCCACGGATTCCACGAGTATAGAATATGCACGAAAAGAAAAATCTGGGTTTCTTGTGTTCTTCCTGACTAATAAGGCGACCCCCTGCTAGGTGACCCGTTGCTGCGACTCTGAATTTGCCTTCTCACCTGGAGCAGCGGAACGCTGAGTCGTGCCGCAGAATGTGTTCGTGGTAGCCAGAAGATGCTCATTCAGCCACCAGCAGAAGTTTCGAGTTTACACGTGGCGTGACTGCATCGCAGCTCGCAGTTCAGGTCTGCATGCAGCTTCGCAACCATACAGAACCTCACAAGACCAGCTGTCAGTGGAGAGATCAGGGGCATACTGAGGAAAGCAATTAGCTAAAAATTCCTCCTAAAGCATACTGCTGCTTTCTCGGCTGACTGAAACCCTAGAATTGCAGCTTTCTGGGGACGACGCTCACTAGGGTTCGCGCAGATTGCCTGCGCCGATCATGGGCTTTCCGCACGAGGCCTTCCGCCAACCTTGGGAAGACGAGTCCGGGGAAGAATGGGCGTGATTCCCCCCCTCAAGCCAACCATCCGCTCCTCCCCTCCTCTCGGTCGCGCAGACACACGAAAGTAGTGAAGATCCGTTGTGGTGAGCCTGGCGAACATCGTTCATGCGTGCGAACAAGTGAAAGTGCTTGCGAGAGCTTGCGAGTGCTTGCGAGCTTGTGCTGTGTTCGTCATTTTATTGGTCTTGGCGAAACCGAACCTTCGCGAATTGCACTCCCTCACCCACACCAACGGACTCGTCCTCTTGATACCCGAACCTGTATGGGCAGTTTTGTGTTAGGTTCGGAAGAGTCTTATTCTTTCGCCAAAGCAAACGGGTCAATCACAGACCCTGGTTAGGATTTGTTACCAGCTTCGAGATTAGAGGGAAACTCGCATGTTCTGACCAGCTCGGCGCGCATTAGCGCCGAATGTTTGAAGGTGTTGCTGTCAATGCTTTCCTTGCTGCCTAGCCATGGCGGCTCAAACTTTGCCAGCTCGAATAGCAAGAGCAGTGTTTTTCGGGTCTCCTGCAATCGATTCAATTCCCCTTGTTCTGATGCCGTCTATATTCGTGCTGTTGACGTGCATCCCAGTCTCGATACACAAGCCGCATTCCTTGTGATGGTCGATAGTAGGATTGTGGTAGTGTGACCCACCTCTCCTTCCCAAGCCCCCTACCGTGCCGAGCGACGGCAAGCTGTCCACGTCAGACGCGGCGCACCAGCTGGTGCTGAAATGCGTCAAACCCGATGAGCGACGTCAAACCCGATGAGCGACGTCGTCACATCGTTGCTACTCGCGCGAGGGAACTCACTTGCACGAGCAAGCCGCGCTTATCAAGCAGTAGTGACATTCCGTTTGACGTGCCGTTGAGACGGGGTCACGTTCGAGGCGCAGGGCGTGTCCCTTGTTGATCGACCGCTTGCGATTGCCTGCGACGAGACACTCTCTGGTGACATGCAATTCGCATTTGCGAAAGGGGGCGTGCTGAAACCCTATGCGACGGTGTCACCTCCCCTGTCCGCATTGATGAGCAGCGCGGTACAGGGCCATCGCGCTCGCGGTATTCGCGGCACAGAGGGAGCATCTGCAGCATGCTCAGGAGCGAGTGGAAGAGTGCAGGCAGCGGCAGGAGAAGTCGCGGAGGGAGCGGTAGAGGGACGAACGAAAGAGAGAGATTCTCGGTAGCTCAAAAACGCCGACGAAAGGGGACTTGGCGTCCAAGTCGAAGAGAGCGGTATCACGCGGTTGTGCCTCGAACGATGGTGAGCCGACCTAATGTGACCGCGTCAACAGGAGTTTCTTGCCTCATTTTTTCCTTTCCCTTTTCCCCTCCGCCTCCTCTCACTCTTAATCTGTAGATCTCACACTTTCGCCCGCGATTCGCCTTCCTCGCTTCTGCGCTTGCATCATGTGACAACGGCTCACATCTACCACACCTTTTGTGAATGCGCTTCCTCACCCTTCACCCTGCGACGCCCTCCCCGCCCCCACGCCACGCCCCTGCGCCTTCCGCGTCGACGACGCGCCTTGCCGCCTCCCCGCAGGTGTAAGATCCGCCGCCACGGCAACACGGACGGCGGGGATCTGCAGTAGCCGTCGGAGGGCCACACGGACGCGACGCCCATGCACGACGCCAGTGCTTGCGCGGTTGCAACTTGCTTTTCCCCTAACCTCCCTTTCCCCCCCATACCCCCCCCCTTTCCTTTCCCCGTCCGCGTTACGCTTGCGCCTGTCCACGGCGGTGGCTATCTGCAATGGCGTGGCAGATGTATGGCGTCTTTGAGCCAGGGAAATAGAGAGGTCCAATCCTAGGACTCGTTCAGGCAGCAGAAGCAACAGCAGCCGAAGCGGTGGGTGCAGTTGTGTGCTGACCTGACGTGGACTGCAGCAGGGTCAGGATTGGGGCGACCAGAGCTGATGAGAGGCCAGCGAAGGTGCAGCGAAGTTGCGTGCTGCACAGGTGGGGCTGCAGTGGGGGCGAGTAAGGAAGATACGAGGCGAGGGGGTGGTAGATACGAGGCGAGGGGGTGGGAGACGTGAGCAAGTCAAGAGAGGGGGCAGGGGCACAACCAGGGGAAGCTGGGGCATGGTGTGGCGTGGACATTTGAGCGTGCTGCACCGGGGTCGGAAGGCGCCTGGGGGAAATGGAGAACACATGCTTGACTGATGAAGTGGGGAAGAAGGGAGCGGGAAGCAGATGTCTCTGCTGCTGCCACTGCTGTTGCCCATGCTGGTGCCCCTTCGTGTGCAGCGATGGCAAGCTGTGTTAAAGTTAGTGCGCCCATTGTCTCCTCGCTCCTCTTGCTTCTCCATCTTCTCGCTCATAGTTTTTTCCCCTCTTCCCTATGACGTCTTTACCCTACACGCCCTCTTCTCTTCCCTCTTGGTTCCACTGTCCTCTTTGTCCCCTCCGCTCCCAACCTATGTTTCTTTTTGTCCTTCCTCGTTCACTCTCCCCCACCCCAACTTTTCCTTCCCTCGCGTCTCGTGCCCACTCTTGCTTCTCATTTCTGCTCGCCATCTGCCTTTCCCCCTTCCTTTCCCCTTCTCATTCCACCTGTTCCTTTGTCCCCTGTCCCTCCCCACTATCAACATCCTCAACAGATTATTTATAACAATCAACATGTGTTATGTCAAAGCCACACTGCAAGCGCTCGTCTCCCTGCCGCCCTTCCTCTCCCACTTCCTCCACCTGCCCCTCCCTGCTCCTCTCGCCCTCTCCTCCTCCCTCCGCCTTCCGTTAATCGCTGAGCTTTAGGGACGGCTGACGTGGCAGCTCCTGGGGCTACAAGGGCAGTAGGGCAAAGCGCCCTCATTCATCTGGTGCGACGGCATGAGAAGGAGCGGAAGGAGCGCAAAGAATGTGAGGGGAATGCGAGAGAACGAGGGAGGACGGGGTCTCTCCGCAAGTAGCATCTCGAAAGGGCAGGCGAAGGGGAAGCGGCAATTTCTGTTCGGAGAAGGCCTTTGATGATGGCGATGGTAAGTCTACCTCTAGTTGCATGATCACCACGTCACCATGATGCTCCTGCCCCGTTTCCGCCCCTCGTCCCTTCTCCCTTCAGTCAGCTCGCTCCCCCCTGTGTCTCTGTCACTCTTCACCTCACCCTTTCCAGTCATTTCCTAGATTCCTCCAATCCACGCGTGCCGTCGCATCGCAATGGCCCTCACATATCCTCACATGCACCACTTCCCAGAATCTTAAGTATGTGCCCCCCCTCCCTGCGATGTTCCCAACTTTCCTGCCTTCCCCTCCTTTTCTGCCTTCCCCACAACTCATCCCTTCCACACGTGACACATTGTACCTTGCTGCCTTCCCTCGAGACCCGACACCTCATTTGTGACATCTGCCACAAGGCTCTTGGCTGTCGGTTCGAATCGCAGGCATCAGGTGCCTCATGACCCCACTGCCCTTCTGTGCCGTGCCCACACTATTCCTCTCCTTCCCCTCCTTTTCTCCCCTCTTCCTCCTTCCTCCTCATTACGCTTTCGTCTTTCCATGTCGGCGCCGTGGCAGATGATTGGCATGTGGGTGGCAAAGGAATGCCGAGGCTGCCAAGGCAGGCAGCAACAGCAACAGGCCAACTGCTGGTTGCAGTTGGATGCTGTGTCGTGGGATGCGGCAGGGATAGTAGTGGTGGGGCGATCGGAGTTGGCAGGAGGCGAGAAAACGTGCAGTGAAGCAACGTGCTACAGAAGATGGGGCAGCAACGGGGTCCAGCAGGGCACATACGAGGCGAGCAGAGAGGTGGATGGAGGCAAACGAAGGAACAGCCACGAGCGAATGGAGTGAGGGGGCAGGACTGCAAGCAGGCGGGTCTGGGGCATTGTGATGTGAGGCATCGGCATGTGAGCGCGATACACGGGGGAGGTGGGGGGCGCATGGAGGGTGGAAAGAGGAGGGGTTGAGAAGGGGCAGGAAGCAAGAGGTGAGCCTTGGGAATGGATTTACTGTCTGTTAATGCCTTTATCACTAGGGTGTGCCCGTCGACTCCCGCTTCTTCAACTTTCCCCTGCACCTTCTGCAGTTTTCCTTTTCTCCTCTCCTGCTTCCCCTTAAGGCGTGGACCACGAGCAAGAGTGATACGGGGACAGATGTCATCATCTTCTCGCTTCTGTAGCATTAGAGCATCAGTTACACTCCGCCAGGAGGGAGAAGGAGAGACTCGAGCGGAACGCGCGAGAATGTGGGGGATTGGAGCTTCTTGGTAGCTCCTGAAAAGGGCAGACGACAGGA